CTGTTTGCAGCAGGACGAGCAGCAACACGGCAGGGCTGTCACAGGCACTCAGGAAAGGCTGCATCAGCCCTGTCCTCCTGCTCATCAGTGTCCCATCACTGCTAACAGCAGTGGGATGGGGATGGTTGCAAATAACAGCGTTTCTCATTGTTTTCCTCTTTCTGCTTTTTTTCCCCCCCCCCCCCCACTGTTTCTTTACTTCTACCTCAAGCTGATTCTCTCTGTATTATTTCCTTTTCTTTTTGTTCCTCTCTTTTTCTCCCATTCTGTCCCTCTCCCCCATCACTTGCCTTCGATCTCACCATCCCTTCTTTGCTCTTTCCCTCTTCTTCCCCCTTATCCCACTCCCCCCCCCATCAAAGAAAGGAAACCGTAACCCAAAGGAAGAACAAGAATTGAACCTGTGCCAATGCAATGGGCCAAGAGGCTACATATGGAACCAGCAAATCACAGAGTCATGAAGGATGTTAGTGATTTAAAGTTATGTATATTGAAGTCTGGATCTTAAAATGAATCCATAATGGTAGAGGTAACTAATGGAGAAACTTAACTGACAGCAAGCAGAGGTTTTTCTTTAACATCGTTATGTTCCCACAAACTCCTCTTTTCCGGTCCCCACCCTTTCCCTGCTCCCCTTTCTGATTAGTTCAACATCCAGGCTGACAATGAAAAGCTAAAGCTGCTGCTTTATATATAAAGATTTAAGCCCATACACCATAAATATGAGTGCTGCTCTGGCTGGATGCAGAGCAGGGCATCCCATGGGCTGCAACTGCCACAAGGCTCTCCCTGGGAATCATGCCCCGTGGCAATAGGTATTGGGTTTTCCTGCCCAGGGGTGTTTGGCAGCACGATGAATCACCTCCCCAGGATGAGTGGTAAAAGCCAGCTGGTCCCCTGGGGCATCTCTCGTATCAACTGCATCAATTTTCTGAGATTCTTGCAGATACCCCAAATTAAAATGCTGCTCGGAGGGAAGGATGCCACCACACCTGTGTGCACACGTGTACAGATGCATGCATTTGTGTACGCATAAAGAAAAACTACATTAACATTTTACTAAATGTGCAAAGTCAAATTCTCCATGTATATAAATATATGTACACCTAATGTATATAAATATATGTATAGGTACTTCTGTCTGGATTATGAGAGCCCTCCTGGCTTGGGCAAGCTGGCACCCTCCCAACCTCATCTGTCCCCAGCATGGTCTAGATTTCACTTGTCCAGGGACTTTTTCTGGCAAACAGTTCACAGGCAGCCATCCAGTTTAGGAGGGTAAAATCAGTACAAAATGACACATTTGTGTCATTTTGAGTCATTTTGTGCCAGTTCATCCCAGAGATTGGGATCCTTCCCAGCACACAGTCTTTCATGGTGTAGCAGTACCCTGAAACTGCTGGGTTGTGCAATGTGCGATGAGAGGTGATGTCTTACATAGGTGAAAATGAGCATCCAAAGCAAAAAGACTCTTATCTGAGGTTCTGTCTTGGTTTCCAAGCTGTGAAATATCATCCTTCTCCCTTAGGTATACGTAAAAAGATTAAATGAATGTTGGCAAATCATAGAAGCATTAAAATTGGAAAAGATCTCTAAGAACAAGTCCATAGAATAGGTTGGAAGGGACATTAAAGTCCATCCAGTCCTAACCCCTGCCATGGCAGGGACACCTCCCACCAGCCCAGGCTGCCCCCAGCCCCATCCATCCCAGCCATGGGCACTGCCAGGGATGGGGCACCCACAGCTCCTCAGGCCAGCCTGCGTCAGGGCCTCGCTGCCCTAAGAGTAAAGAATTTCCTCCTTATATCTAATGTAAACCTACCCTTTTTTAGTTTAAAACTGTTTCTCCCTGTCCTGTGCAAGAGAAACACTTACCAATATCACTGCTGTAGAAAACACAACACCATGGCTGTTTTGAAGATCTTCCTAACAGGGTGAGTAATAAGAAATAAAGAAGCTCCAGCACCACACGCTGCTGAGAAAACAAATATCACCATTTCATAGTGGTCCTCCAACAGGCAGGACCCGTGTGGGATGCAGTACACGAGCAGATGAAAGCTGGTACCACAACCCACATGTGCGAGGGGGCAAATGAGGATTGCACAGGTGACCTGAGCTCTGGCAGGTTTTTAACTACCAAGTGTTTCCCCTGGCACTGTTAATGCTCTTTAATGTTCTTTTAACAAAGGGTTGAGGGAAGGGTTGGCCTGTGATAAATTCTCTCGCACTTCTCATTGAACATACTTCCCCAAACCTGTGGTTTTCCTACACAAGGGAAGTAGAAGAAATCACCCCCCACCCCCACCCCTCGCCCATTATCTCTGCCCTACAACTTGGGAGCAGAAGGGTTACTGAAGCACTAAACAAAACACTTCTTTTTTTTTTTTTTTTTTGGCAATATGGTCTTTCCACACTGCTGCGCCTTCTTCCCTATGGCATGAAATTCCCCTTTGCCTTCCACAATGCTTATTTAAAGAGATGCTTACACAGATGAAAGACCCTGGGGTGCACACACGATGCACACACGGGGCTGTGTCTCCCTCCAGCTGCAGAGCAGCAGAGCAGGTCGTGGATCAGCCACCAGCTCCTGGTATCATCCCCATCAGCCCTGGGACGTGGGTGCTGGAACAGCAAGCTGCAGTCCTGAGCACCATTCTGTGGGTTTTTCCTTTTCCTCCACGTTTTTCTGTGGGTTTTTCCTTTTTCTCCACCCTTCAGAAGGGAAAGCCGAGATGCTGTTAGCAGTGGCTGAATATTGGCTAGATTATGGGGCATGTGGGTATAGCCTATATTTATTTTTTTTTAAGTATATATTTGTTTGATGTTTTGCAAGCATCTGCTTAAGATTTCTGTGCTTATCTAACGGGAGGAAAGAGCCCATTCTTCCCAATTCAGTGCAAGAAAATGTCATAACGCTGCTGGGCCCCTTTGTTTCATCCTGCGCCAGAGGGACTCCATCGTTCCTTTTGCTACTTCTTGGAGAGCCAAAAGCAGTGGCTGGCAATTAAAGGCATCTGCTGGGCTCACGAAAGAAAGGCATGCACAAGATATGAAGGATGGATGACACCTGAAATGTCTAAACTCTTGCCTGGCGCAGACTGGACTGATTGCAGCGTGTCTGGCAGGATGTGTAGAGTGTTACCGCAGGTATCAAGATAAAATAAAGAAAAACCAAACTAAACCCTCGCTGACAAACTTCCCCCCCAGCCCATCCCTGAAGGAAGAGGTGCCAGCAGCTCAGTGGAGCCTGCTGAGGACTCTATTTTTCATGTGGTAAACATGGAGAGACAGCAGAACAAATCCCTGCCAGACGAAGTGATTAGCTGGGCAGAAGGAACCCGTCAGAGCCCAAATGACCAAAAAAAAATGGACGGTGGCATAAAAAGTCTGCCATGGGAAGGGAGAAGCTTTGGTTTGTGCAAAACAGATGCACAAAGAATGATAAAAATAGATTTGAAAAAAGTGATTCAGGTTGTTATTCACCCCATTTTTCACAATTCAGGTCTATAATCACAATCATACACAGAACCCTTTCCCTTTTTTTTTTTTTTTTTACACAGGGCTTAATGGATCTGTTACATTCACTACTGTAAAATGTCACCTAGAGCAGTGCCGGGTTTGTTCATGTAATGAGAGCTGTAGCTACCTATTTTTAACAAAATAAGCACTGAAAACACACTAGTATGGAAAAAGTTTTGTGTGAGGTCAGTGTGATGAACCCTAAGTGCTGGGGTTCCTGGCACCATCCTTTGGAGCACGCAGTCCTGGCCATCCTTGGGCTCACTCCAACACCAATGAGCCAAGGAGGAACATGAGGCCAACACTTAGCAGCTTGGGTTCGAACACTTTGAAACAAATTCTCATTTTTATATGACAGATCACTTCAAGAGAGATGTGGCACTAGAAGGATGCAGCTAACTGGGTGCAGTCTTTGATGACGAGAAGAAAAGTTGAAATATAAACCAGGAGGAATCCTCCTCATTCCTTTCTAGTTGCAGCTGCGGGATGAGTAACTCTTGTTGCTTCAGATGGGTGGTGATTGCTTGTCATTTACTACGAAAGGCTCAGAGCCTCTGTCTCTAATGCCTCTCTGGAAGTGGTTTTCTTTGTGGAAACTAAATTCAAAATGTTGTGCTGCAATAAAATTTGCAATACTACACATTTGCGTATCATAACATCAGAAGGCAATCTGGAGCCAAGCCAGCCAGCCCTACCTCAGCTGAGTCCAGCCTCGCAGCAGAAGCAATATAAGTAATATCAGAAGCAATACACAGAGTAAGGCAAGTGGAAACATACTTCTATCTGGACCTCCTCCCAGCCCAGGTATTTGGGGACTTCTTAACCTGGACATTTCATCCAATCTTTAGTGTTTAACAACTTTAATGGATCTGTTCTTCATAAAGTTGACATATTCACATTTGAACCCTGTATTCATTTATTTTTATCTGCATAGCACCAGCTGGAAAAGGGCTCCTTTAGTTTAATTTAGTTTAATTATACTGTGTAAAAAGATACTTTGCTATGTTTGCTTTAAACTTGCTGCCTGGTTGTTTCTTCAGGACCTCCTACCCTCTGATTTGAGGAAAACTGGATAATAATTGCCCATTTCACCCTATCCATTGTTCTGTAGACCTGTGCTAATCCTACCAGCTCTCATATCCTCCATGATATGCTTGGAGAGTGCTCTGGTCCAAACCAACATAGTACTACCAGGAGTATGTATATAGTATGTATATAGTACCAGTGTCTGGCACACAGGTCTTATACCTGGCCCTGTTTCTTCTTCTAGAAAAGATGCAGCTTATTTGTCCTTGCTGTCTTTCCCTTTATTTCCGTTCAATATGATTTAAAATCCCCAGATGAGTATAGCAACATTCAAGCTACGGGCACACTTTTCTTGCAGCCACTCCTAGATTCAAAGGAATGTTGCCTGTTTAAAAATAAATAAATAATATAAAATTGAAGTTATCAAATTAAACAAAAGTTCAGGAATAACATGATGAGAAAATAAACCACTTTTATTCAAATTCTCAAGTGCCAATCACTCTTGGAATACAGGATTCCGAACAGCTCCGATTCAAGAAGGTGGATTTCTTCATTTAACAAATACTCATTTGAAGGTTACATGAAAAATATTTGCTAATTTATCCAAAGGCCTAAAATGGAACAATGAGCAGATACTTTTTAATTTAATTTTAAAAATTAAATTCAACTGCTACTTCAATAATAAAATATGCTACCTATTATATAAAAAGGACATTGATTTCATTCACGGTTGACAGAATACAGCCACACAATCTTAATGTTAAAGGCAAACTGCAATGACATTTTAATTACATCATACCTATTATATATTATGAGTGTTAGGGCAGCACACAAAGGCTGTAATCAGAGTCCTGTTGTGCTAGGAGCTGTACAAACAAAGAGGAAACATATAGTTACTATCCCAAAAGGTTACAGTCCAATCTAAAATTATCCATTAACATAGGATATGCCTCGATGGAAAATCACAAGTATGCAAAGGGATTTTTCCTTTCTTTCTTACTTGATGGAGACCACTAGATGCACAGTTACTTTCCACAGTCTTTAAGAGCTCCTGATTTTGCTCTCCTCCCAGCAGATCAACAGATCCAACAACAATTAGGTGTTCTGGAGATTATTAATGTTGCAATGGAGGAAATCCAGCCCTGAACTGGGGGCTGGGCTGACACCTAAAAATTTTAGTATCCTTGAGTTACTTTTTGTCTGTACCATGCCCTGAAGATCTGAAGATGTTGCATCCCAGATTTTGTTGTTTTTTTTTTTTTTTTTTTTTTTTTTTTTTTAATGTCATTGAAATTTTTAAGTAACTGTGGGTCAATTTAGGGCCTTTCAGGTTGATTTCACACAGAAGATGCAAAATTTGTCCATACAGCTCTTAGGACTTCCAGACTGATCCTACTCTCTTTCCCCAGTGGAAGGACAGTAGCATGTACAGTGGGCTCCCCTTCCTCTCTTTCTATCTCAGCCCCTCCTCTAAGGAACCAGGAGTGTGCCACAAATGAGTCAGGATTTGAAAATGAGTGGTTTTTGACAGGGGAAAAAAAAGTATTTCTGCTCACCCTCAAATCTCACTACACAACTTGGTTTTGATCTTCAAGCTTTAAAATTGGAAACAGTCAGAGTAGGAAGATAAATCTGTCAATCGCTAGATCATAAATTGCTAGACAATATGGAGCAGGACTCTTCAAAAACAATTTCTTAAGGAAAAAAAAAATAAAAAATAATTTAAAAAAAAAAAAAAAAAACAGAGGATAGGATCATCGCTATGAGGATTTGCACAGATGAAGACCTGTTCCTCACAAACCAAAGCAGGAAGGGAATACAAGTTCCAAAAATACAACCATGTACACAAGCAGTCAGTTTTGCACTAAAAGAGAGGGTTGGGTGGGGGTTAGGTTTTTTTTTGCACCACGTTTTCCTATTGCCAATAAAGCCCTGTAATTCCCAGCACAAAACAATGCAATGCACACGGGGTTTATTTGCAACCAAAGGCTTGGACACAAACTGGCATTGGGAATGAGAAGGGAGGCAGGATGGCAGCTCAGGATACTTGAGGGAACATTTCTGAACTGTTTAGCAGGAGTTTATTGCTTCGGTGCAGGAGTCTCCAAGTGCCGAAGCAGGAGATGGTGCATGTTGCTGTGCCAAAATTGCCCACCTTGGGTGCATGCAGTGAGAGGCAGGGGACCCATGGCTGTGTTTCAATGCTCCTGCCCAAGCAATACAATTTGGGCAGAATGAAGCACACTCCTTTTGTGCCTCGCCATGCTTAGGAAATAGATCTGGAGTGTTATAAAGGAGAAACGGCTAATGACAAAGATGTTCCTCAGACTCGCTCCTGAGCCCTTGTATGCTGCTGTTCCCAGCGTTGGGCTGATTTGGTGGCTGTGCTGCAGGCAAATGTGGTTGGTGTGGGTTAGCCAACATATCTGGGTCTGTGTGGCTGTTCTCCTGCTTCTGCACACCTCAGTGGTGTGGCTCTTGTTTATTCCAGTGCAAACAGAACCAAATGCCCAGCTAACAACTCTGCCATTTCAGGAGTAGTTTTCCTCTTTATGCCACCTTCCATCCCAGTGTACTTATAGAGCATTGTTGAATTAAATAATGCAGATAAATAATAAAGTGTTTATACATATAAATAGATACAGCTTACATGGAAGTAAACTGTTGTACAGTCAATAATAATTAAAAAAAATAAATCAGAAATCTTAGATTTTAACTGAATTTTATATCTCTCTTGCAGTATCTGGATTATGTTGTTCATTTACTCCTAAGCATACTCCTTAAAACAAACTATAATCTTCCCTGCTTAAATAATTTGGTCAGAATCACACTTCTTTATGTTTTATGCCACAGCTTATTCCCAAAGCTGGGGATAACCACTCATTTCCTGAAAACTCCTAAAAACATCCTTAATGAAAAAAGCTGAGAAATCTGCTGTTTGCAGTGCTATTTACTTATTGCTTACCTCCAAACTAAGGTAGTTAATTTGATGGGAAAAAAGAAAAAAAAAAAAAAAGTGGAAAAGAAAAAGATTAATGTGGTGCCCGTAGCTATTTCCCAAATTCTTCAGAGTTTATAGACCTAGGGAGACAGGGAAAGAGCAATTTCTCAGCAGTGCAGCAGAATAGGCTGAAATGACCCCATGAAACTCAAGCGATTCTGGGAATTAAAGGATGTTCACTCCTGCTACAGCTCTACACTGCAAACTGCTTTTAGGGCTCCCAGTAGTACACATTAGCAATAGCCAAGCTTTTCAGTTTTAATTTAATTTAATTTAATTTCTACCAACAAATTCCACCCTGTGGTGAGAATTGACAGTATCATGTTGAGAGCCATTAAAGCATATTTGGATTGTTTTTACTCTATGTGCATATATATATATATAAAAAAAACAAATTCCCCCACCCTTCTTAGTTTTCTTTAGAGAAGCCATTTCATAATAAGAGTAAGGCAGACACAGCGGAGGCATCGTTATGCTGTGGGATACCACCACAGGGAGTGCTGTTGGAGGTAGAGCAGAACATGCCTTGGCATCACACTGTCAGCGTGGCTCTGCTCCGAAGCGCCTCAGTGATAAACCAGAATGGAGCCTGGCAGCTCTGGCAGCATCCCCCCAGTTGCAACTGGGACAGAGCTGGGTCCCTGATCCCGTATAAGCCATTAGACCCTGTATATCACTGCTGCTTCTTTGCCTTTGTGAGCGCTTTCTGTTCTCTGAGGACATCTTCACGCTTGAAACAGCTTCATGCTTATGTAGCCTTGGGCTCTGCTGGGAATTCCTATTGGGAATTCCCCCACTGGGAATTCTGCCACTGGATTTCAAAGGAAACAGAATAATAATGCTCTTCGTTAATATAGGCTTTTCTGTCATGTCTTTTAGGCCGCCATCCAGCCAGGCAGGCAGGCACATGTTTAACATTAAACACATGAGCAGTCCCTATTCACATGCTGCAAGCTAGAAACACTCGTTAGTGCTGGATCGCGGCCCCGGCTGAGCTGCTAACACACTTCAGCCCGAGAGCTGGGCTCAGCAAAAGGTGGCACTGAAGCCTTTCATCGTGGTTGCACCATCGCTGGCTGAGCAGCTTTGGCCCTGGCGTTTCCTGCCCGAGCTATGCAAATCCAAATGGCGATGGCCCAGTAGGGGTGGGGGTCCGCCTGGCAGCGACCCGCTGAGCTGTGACAATGTCATCACGCAGAGCTGCTTAGCTGATGAGCCCAGCTCAAAGCACGCCACATTCAAGTGCGTCCCTCTGGAGTATTTTCAGTGTTAGCAACTCTCCGATGAATGGTGAAAGGGGGATGATTTGGGGCAGCAGGGGAATGACAGGCTGCACGATCGCTGCAGGATGTGAAATGCTGCTGAGTCCTGTAATGCTGCATGGTGAGTGCCTGAGGGGCTACACGGGGGGCTCCAGACCTTCACATCACATGTTTCAAGCTTTGAAAGCCAGCATTGGACAGGGTTCCTGTGCTTTCCTACGACTGGAGTGTTGCTTGGGATGTGGGACAAGGAAATAAAACAGATCGATGCTTCCTCCTTTCCTTGCACATGACCCAGGAGGGGTCACTACCTAGCACAGAGTTAGTGGAGTGTTGTAGTTCAGCACCAAAACAAACCAGCAAAGCCCTCCTGGCCAAGGAAATGGAACATTTCGTGACCCAGAGGGAACACCTCTATGTATCCTGGGAAAATCCATTGGCAAAGCCACCTTCAGCAAGGACTTGTTCAGGTCCTTGCTGAAAATCACAGTCCAGAATAAACAGTCCATCATTCTTGGTTAGAGTATCCCAGATGAAAAGACAGATTTTTTAAAAAATGCTTTGAATACTGTTTTTTTCCAAAAAAAAATCATTGCCTCCTTCAACTTCTCAACAAGTATAAGCCTCACAGTTTTCCTGCCTCCTCTGGAATCATTAGGTCACTGCAGTCATCAAAATTAATGAAGAGATGAAAGATTGAGCAGAAAGGCAAAATCTTACTGGAAAAAATATTTCTTAATATGAAAAGCAATTCAAGAATAATGAATACATCTAGCAGAATAATAAACAACTGCAAACTTCCCAACACCTAAAAGAATACATGTGAAGGAGGACATGAGACTTTGCATTTATTTTCCTGTTTAAAACACCAATTCATTCTAAAAAGTCAATGCTTCCACGTGCCTCTAGGGCCTTAAATGAGTGAGATTTCCACTGCCTACATTTTCACAGTACCCTAAACTTAGCTAGTTAGCCCGAGCTGGCCATTCCAGGAAGGGGCACTCTCTTTGCTTCTCACCTTTGCCGCTGGGGCAGTGGTGGGAGCAGGGCTGCAAGGAGTGGCCTTTGGACATCATCCCACAAGGTGTCTGGGTTATCATAAAATGTGCTTGTCTGTGTGCCCACCCATGAGCACTAGCAGTGAGAAAATGGCAGAATGGTTTTAGATTGCCTAGAGTTGACTTTCATCAGGGACAAGAGAGGAGGAAAGGTGGCTGGAGGTTAAATAAATAAATGTATATTCAGAATTAATACTATGCCCAATTCAGCTGGTCTTTCTTGCAGGAAACGAAGACGTCTAGCTTCTTTGTGATACCGACTGCCATTCTTCCCTGGCAGTGGCTTTTCAGCTGATGCAGACACAGGACAAAAGCTTGTAACCCATAGCTTGATATTCCCCACTACTCCTCATAAAGCAATACCACTTTGTAGTGGAAAAAGAAAAAAGTTTGTCAGAAGCCTTTAAACAGCCTTGAGACAGATACTCCCTTGGTCTTACCTGTACAGCAAGATGACGTCTTGGCAATTCAAAAAGTCTAACAAAAAATGAGAATAACTTGTATATGGGATCCTCTAGCACTCCCATATCACTGGTAATAGAAGAAAAATCAATATTAGTTCCAATATGAATGGAGTGTTGGATTGACTGAACAGGGAGCTTTGAAATAAATATCTAAGAAATGTTTGGATGAAATGGACATCTTTACAGACATTTGGTCTGCATTTCTGAAATGTAGATGATTAAATCCACATTGTTGGCTTCTTCCCCCTCTGCACTATGTCTTTCTTTACATCTTGCAAAAAATTTATGAACAAAGTTATTGTAAATCTGCAATGTCTGTCTTGTCACTTAGATTCTTTTCAGAAATGCTGCCTTGCCAATGTAGACATACAATCCTGTATGATTAATATTTATTACTTATAATTCTAAATACAATGGAAGGTCACCAAAAATACCCCGTGTAAAGGAGACTGGAGCCCTTTAAAACCTCACTGGTGATGGATCCTCAGTCTTGAGAACTGGGCTCAAAATCTTAGCAAAACACTTTTCTATGTAGGATTTCCAGTATTTCCTGCTTCTGACTATGGCTGAAGCCAAAAAGCACAAAGGTGAGCAGAAGTTACAGATCTAAAAGCATGAGCCTGGATTTCAAACCCAAACAAAGGTCAGGGAATGCCTGAACCTGTCCATAATCTTGCATCAGCCTATAATAGAGTTATGAATAAAATGCAAAGCCAGGATGCAGGGTGAGACTGGAATAACCACAGAATGGGCACCGTAGCTGATGGGAAAACAGTTTATTTTTTATCTTCTCATATCTATCAATACATTTGTCCAGATTTCTCATGTGTGTGGTGTTGCTAGAAAAGTGAAAATATTTTGGTTTTGTATTACTGATTGAAAGAAAGGTAGTTTGTGGAATTTTCGGTTTTATAATGAAATCCTAAAAAGATTTTAAGACATTTTAAAGCAAACCATCTTACAAAAAGCTCATTGTGCCAACAGCTCCTTTTCTCTTTGGTATAAGCTGAACCATTTTTAAACATCATTCTAAAAAAAAAAAAAAAAAAAAAAAAAAAAAAAGATGTAATTTGAGGTTGCTGAGATCAACTGATTGTGATTTGGCCCTCTTCTAGCAAAACTGAAGTAAGACAGATTCAAGCGTTTCAGAACAGGATTCAGCAAACTGGTGAAGATCTGGAGACAGAAGAAATCAGGACAGCCCCTGAGCTGGTTCATTTACCCTGCCTGCATCTGCTGCATGTTTGTATGATCTTTTTTAGGGCGCTAAATGCAATAAGCACAGAGCAAGAAGCTGTGTCTGCCTCTGCATCTTCATTCAAAGATCACTGCCACTGTGATTAAGCAAAGCCGCTAACTGAAGCACAAACCTGGAGAGTGACAACTGAGGAAGATTTTGTTCGGCATGCTCATCGCCAAATCATACTGACAGTGAGAAAATCCCAGTGACCATCAATCAGACACCAGACTTTTCACTTGAAACAAATTTGCACAGCACTGCTAATAGCACTCTGCTAAACTGACAGAGCCATCTTGCTCAGCATGCTGAGTTAAAACAAAAACCAAAAGATAGACGGAAAGGACCAAGTGGATTAAAATAAATAAATAAATAATTGCCTTAATTTAAAAAAAAAAAAAAAATCACAAATAATTCCAAACTCATGAAGAAATGTTTTTAACGAGCCACATGTGCTTGTGCAGACACTTCTAATCTCATTAGATTTTTCTGGCTGCTATTAGTGTTCTCTGAGCCAGCTGATTTCTCAGCAATATTTTAAAGAGTGCAAGCCTTTGCCCTCCAGTCTAGCCGTTGTTACAATAGCCCATTCTAGGGGAAGACTTGGGAGTTCATGGATTTTCTCCGGAGGTTTTGGAAAGTTCAGAAGAAATTGATCACTGCATGCAAAACAGCAGTCAGCCACAAACTATCTTCATAGTCAATGAGCAGCGCTCTGCTCCCAGCTGGGTTAGAGTGAAAAGTGGAATCGTCTCACCAAAGCCATGAGATGGCTTCAGATCGTCACTGCTGTCACACAGCAGAGGCTTGGTTTACTTGTTCTCTCCAGTCCTCTGGCTCTCTGGCTGCAAAGAGGTTCCTTGTAAGGTTTCCCCATGGCCTCAGCTCACCAGTCTGGGGGTTCCCTCAAACCAGCACAGCTCTCTACAGCTCTGATCAGAAGGAGAGCCACACCAGGTGAGAGCTGAGCTTTATTTCATCTTTGAAAACAATCGTAAATGTTCCCAAACTGAAAACTGAGAGCCATGTACACCATGATACATATTAGGGCATGAGAATTTTATGCAAAAGAGCTGTCATTCTGGATTTGCTACAGTAATGTGCACATAATCACTACCCCAAAGCAGCTTTTTACAGGCAGATGCTCCAGATAGAACAAAATAATCAGCTTACAGAAACCAATCCAGCATCATTTAACCTCGATGGCTGAACCTTGGAGGAGCGGGACTAAAGCATCATGAGTGGCTTTGTCCTAGTGTGCTTGCCAACTTTCTGGCTGGAAGTGTGCCTCCTCTCTGCTTTTGCCTGCCCTCTTCGAGGCTATCAGAGTGTACAGCTCCCTGATAAGATGATGAGCGCTTGATGGTGACCCATCTGGAGCCCAAAGTGAGGAAAGTGCTTCCCCTGTCTGGAATTCGTATGCAGCAACAGCTTGCTCCTGCCTATCCACGTTTCCCAAGATAGCAGTATAAAGGAACTGGCAGCTGTACAGTCAAGACGATGATATCCTACGTGGTTTGGTTAGCTGTGCCAATTCTGGCTATGGGCTTGACTCAATATGCTGCCCCCGTTAGTGCTGTCTCTACAAACTAGCAGATCCACTGGGCACTTTGGCATTAGCACCGCTCTTCCAAGGGCTGCCTGCTCAATTGCTCAATCACTCTCTTTTGCTTTAAACTTCAGAATCCAGAAGCATCATGTAAATTTTATGCAAAGTAGCATCTGCAAGTCTGACATATTCACTCAGGCTTCCCCCTCTTGCGCCAAGTTAAAAATAAATACCCTATAAACTCTTGGGCCTGCTAAGACAAAAAATGCATTCAGATATATTTTTTTTAAATATAACTGCTAAGAGCATTACTCCTTTAGGGTCAAACTTTTTTTTTTTTCCCCTCTCTCATATTTTGTTCCTTCCTCAAGAATTTCAACAGCACTGAAAAAAGTGTCCTTCAAATAGCCTGCAAAAGAACCAGTTCTACATGTCCCTAGTTGACTTGCTTGATATTTCAGCTAATATCATATTTTCAAAACTCCAGAGAAAACAGGTGCTAATATACCCCAACATGAAACAAGGAACTAATAAAGTGGACTCATTTCAAATACTGATTATGAGTAATACTAGTTGTGCCAGATCATAGGTTCAGTTTTCAAAGGGTCTCCACCCCCTACACTAGAGCTGCCTTCTCCTTTCCCCAGTGAGAGGCAGATTTGTCCTGACCAATACACTTGAACAGGTGAAGTCACAGGGATGCCAACCAGATAGCATAATGATAAAATATATCTTAAGGCAACAAGGAGAAGTGTCTGTAAAATGGGAATCCCCCAGGGATGCTGAGCTGCTGCAGGGGTCAGTTAGGACTTGCTGAGCCGCTTGGCGACATCTGCATAGGCTTGCTCGATTTCTTTGTCTGCTGCACAGGTGTTGGTGAATTCATCCCTGGCATATGCATTCTTCAGGTACCGCCAAAGGCCCGTCATCTCTGTTGGGAACTCAAAGTTGCGGTATTTCTTTGCAACAATCTAAACCAAAAGACAAAAGAGGGAGAGAAAAAATGTCCTGCTGGTAATGTATTTCCAGATTTCATTTCAGAGAGTTTCTTACTCTTTCTTGTAGTATAATTAACAGCAAAAGAGAAAAATGGGTAGTAAGATAATAGAGCGGGTTGCCCAGAGAAATTGTGTATTCCATTATTGGAAGCGTTGGGTTGAACAGGTGTTTGAGCACCCTGATCTAGTGAAAGATGCCCTAGCCCATGATCTTTAAGGGTTCCTTCCAACCCAAACTATTCTATAATTCTATATATGCTTCTTTTATATGCCTTGGGACACATGGGCTTGTAATACAAAGGCTCAAAGAGTGAACATTGGTTATCCTGTGTCTTGCATACTACTTGGCATAAGGACACTCTACTACAATTGCCTGGCAACTATCTACAAATTGTGCCCTTTACGGTACCTAAAATTCATTAACTTTACTGTGTTATTTTCTAGTGTTTTCCATCATCTTTATGTGCATCACTTCTTAACTCTGAGATGCCAAATAAGGGATCATATAGCTGAATCACAAATAATAATAATAATAATAATAATAACAACAATAATAACACATTTAGGGAAAGGCATTAGTAACAATTAATACATAACATTTTAATATTAGTTATTATATTTAACATTACACTACATTATATATTTACTATATTTATATTTGTTATATATGTAATATATTTTATTTGGCCAACGAAGTCAGAGGATATAACTACCTACAGCTGCTGGAAGGCTTTATCTGTGTTCTTGAAAAGGAAATATTCAGGGTGTTATGGGTACCATGACTGAGAAACCAAGATGACTTAGACATTATAAACAGCACTATTAGGATAAACTGGGGGGAGAAAATGATTATTTCAAGACTTGTTAGACTCGGAAATTGTCTATCAAGGGAAATTTTCGAGTTCTAAAAACACTCAGGCCCTTATTCAGCAAAATATTAAAGTGCATACTTAATTTTAAGCACCTGTATAGTCCATTGAAGTCAATGGGACTAATCTGTGTTTAAAGTTAGTTGGCTGGTTAAGTTAGATTGGGACATTTCAATATTTCTGTAAGAATATACTGTATAGAATAATCTTGTGGTGACAGAATGAACTAGCTGATAGGAAGGGATGGATTAGCTGATTTAATGAGTGCTTCCAATCTCTAATTTTTCTGACAGTATAAAATTGTTCCTGAGCATAAATTACATACATATGTGCCACAGAGTTCCCCTTTATTCTTAAAGCACATGGTAGAGCTGTTTTCCATCTCGGATTTCTTAGGACAGTCATGTTCTCAGAAATGACTACGATTTGTTTTTATTACCAGCATCTACTTGGTATATGAGGCCTTATGCTGTCCTAAACTGCATTTAATTAAGCATTCTTGCCTTCAATGATATTTCATACACACATGGGGAAGATAAAACCTGCTGAGCAACTAAAGTCAAGATTTTCACAACTTCCAGCACCCATTTTTCATCAAGTGAAAAACTCTTAATACTTTACCCTTTTCTTCCATCTGTAAAATACTTTTCAGATAATATACTATAGTTATGCTTGTCTGAGAAATATTTTAAGCCTCTTTTGACATCTTTCACTTTATCCAAAGGAAGCAGGAGTCATTAAGGGGCCACACAGTGATTTTGCATTGTCTGACTCCAAAGCCACCAACAAAGATGAGCCAAAAAGAAAAAGAGCTAAACCTGTGAGGATATTATACATTTCTTACCTGGTGACTTATGCCTTTTTTCTTTTCTTTTTGCATGTGTGCAGTCAGCTTCCAGGATCAGTTTATGTTTTGGCTCACCGAGCCAAATTAGATGCATGACTTGGCTTTAATTCCTAGCTTTCTTGCTTGCCAAGGTCTGCCAGGTACTTGCTTTATTCTAAATAAACATGTAATCTGATAAATTAAATAAATGTAACATTTGGAAGTCAGGATGATGTACATCATTTGCACTGTACCAGCGACCATTGGACATCGTAAAACCTGGATCTCGGCATTGACTTTGATTTGTTAACTTCTCTGTGTGAAACACCAGCTGGAACAAATATTCCACCAGAAGATGGAATGTCTCTTAAGTTACAAATGGGTGGGAACTGACTAAAGTTTTGACATCTCTCTTAAGAATAATGGGAAGTAATTAATATGAAAGATGGCTTTTACCAGCAGCAGGGTGAGAATACAGAGACAGGATACCCAGATCTTAATGTTGTCTTTGCTACTAACCAGTGATGGGACATTTTCCCCATGTATTAAATACAAAGTGGCTTAAGTGAACCTACGAGAAATACTGATGAAAACGTGTTTCAAGCTCTGCTTCTCAACCTGTATAATTGCTCAGCTATGCTAGGGAGCACAGAGTGAGTAAATACCTGGGAATTACATAGTGTGTAGCACAAAACCTCATAATGTATGAACCAGAGAACTTCCCTGGCTTCTTTGTCCATCATGTGGCACCTTTTACCTTGACAACATGGAGTTTGGGCAGAAGGTTGCAGTCAGCAAGGGTCAGGTCATCACCATCCAGAAACTTGCGTTTAGACACTTTCTCCTCTTCAGTGCTATTTGCATCAATCTCCTCTGGCAGTGGGGTCCTCAGATAGTCATCCAGCTTCTTCAGAGCCTTCACCAAACCTTTTTCAAGGGCTATGACAAAAAGGAACAAATAAGTGGTTAGGAGAGGGTGAGAATTATTTAGAAATACTCACCATCAGTGGCCGTGACACACAAGAAAACAAAAGGAAAAATACACACACACACACAAAAAAAAGTTGTAGTTTTACAATTCAACACTCTTCCAGAGCAATTAAAGGCAACAGCAACAATTCCAAAGATGCTAACCAGAACTCTATTGAGCTGTAAGATACACTATAACTGAAACAAAAGCAACATAACAAAAACTAAATACAAAGCTAGATAAAGGAGATGAAATAGTTAGCCATCATTAAGATTTCCCTTACTTCAGGTTCATTTAGGTGCAAATTCTCTCTTTGATATGTCTCAAAAGGAGTGCCACAATGGAGATAGGACTTCAGACCTCAATTATTAAAGACTTTGTCCCACACTGCTGCTGGCTCTAAAGCATTCAACACTTAAATTACACTTAGACTTTATGCACAGCAGCATGTAAAAATTTTACTAGAAAAAATCAGCCTGGGCACAGAATTTGTGTTCATATGCTTCACCAGAAAGAAAGTAGAAAAATCTGATAATAACAATATACTTATAGAAAACTGAACTGTACACATTGACTGTACACAGGCTTACGTGTTATTTAAACAGCAAATGCTCTGGGGCAAGAAGGATCTTTTGCATCTCTGTTTGAAGGGTGACAAGCATGATAGGGTCCTGGCCCCTGACAAGTGCCCCAAACTGTTAAAACAATATAAATAAGAAACAGCAAGAATTTACAATGTGAAAAAATAACAACATGACTCATGGGCTTCAGGCCAGAATTTCAGCTGGTGAAAATTACCTGCCGTGATTTATACCTGCTGCAGACCTGGCCCAGAGTCAGCATTTAAGGCCTAATCCTGTAAAATCTTGTATCTCTGAGTAACTAACTGCCATTTAAACTTTAGGGAGACTACTCAATGTGTCGAGTTACTCATGCAGCGTATCACTACAAAGCCTAGGGAGATAAATATATTTATGGAGCACAACGTGAGCTTCAAAGGGCTGCCGTGTTTGCCCCATACAGGGCAGGTTGCTGGCACAGGTAGCTCTGCTGGCTCTGCTGTCAGCCACTCCTGTGTTTTTGGCACGGAGGGAAAGGCGGCATGTATGGGGCCATGGAGAGAGCAAGAGCTGAACACCACAGAACATGATTTCTCTGCTGCCCTGACATCCATTAAACCTTGTGCCAGGGGTGGAAGTCAGATTAAGCTGCCTGGTGCCTTGCTCCCACTAAGGCCTCTTGGCCAAGCAGCAGGGAACCACACCAGCTCTCTTGTGGCTGACTCTTAGACACAGTGGCAAATCCTGGCTTAATTGATTGACCAGAGGAACGACTGCAATCCAACTGAAAACACCCCGACAAACATAGCAGGGAGGAGCAGAATTTTATTTCTGAACGCAGATCATCTAAAGTGACTGAAGTGTTGCCATCCATAAAACAAAAGTGTTGCCATCCCTTATTTAATCAATTCAAATTGCATTTTGACACTGACGTTCTGCCGTCAGATCCTGGCAGTGTTGTCTTTAATCATCTGCAGCTGTGCTCCACCACACAACTTCTGCTGAAGGGTAGTAACTGCCTTGCGTGTAATATTACCCCATGTGGCAGCACTCGAAAGATTTAGCAATCTCGTCTTGGTTTGACCCATAACACCTGTTGAATAGATCTCTTTCTCTTGGTCAGCCTCAGACTATATCCTCTTACAATGAATTCATTTAGGGACAATGGAATCAAATTACTGTAATTGAATTCAATTTTGCTCATTCAGATTTTAGAAAACTGATTTAACTCCGAGTATTTTCCAGCATCCCTTTTGCCCAGTAAGATCATTAGTTCTTTGAGTGATCTGTGCAGTATTTCCAGTGGAAATGCTACTTTAGATACACCATGCTAGTCCCTGGGGTTATGTGTGTTTATAAAGACAGGACCATGTCCAGGTGACATGGATTTATGTAACTTTTTCTGGAACTTTTTGGGGCTTTTTTTTTTCCCCTCTTACTGATACATCAAAATGTGTCATAGTTGTCTCAAAAACAATGCCTGGAGTGGAGCCTATTTGTGACAGTGGGAAAAACATCTATCTGAATTCATACTTGGCTCTTGCTTACAACTGCTTTAGGCCAGAAATAAACATATGTGCAGGGTTCAACACATCCGAGACCTCATTCACAGGCTCTGCTGGAACTCACAGGATCCTGAGATCTCCCACTGAAGCCACTACAAGGTGGGACCATCTCATATTCTGATAATTAAGAACTACTACTTCTGACACCTGTGACTCCATTTAATTAATTAGAACTCTTCTGATCTCAGTAAAGGTCTCAGAACAGCCAGAAAATAGAAAGGCAGCAAACAAGGGAGAACTGACTTCCTTCCGACTGAATAATAACAGCATTTTGAAAAGCTAAGAGAATTACAAACCTAAAGTTGCAATTTCAAAATTTAGGTGCACAGGGTGGATTTTTTTAAAGAATTTTAAAAATTTCTTGAAATTTTGTCAAGACATTTTTTGAAATCCATATGCAAATACCCACATTACTAATCCTAATTTCTAGGAGCCCTATCGTATTCAGATTCCTCTATGTAATAGAGGTAAAGCCTTAGTTTCCTTGAGAAGGTCCTCGGAGAAAGCCACACTTGAAATAGCAGGATGTGTAAAAGAATCTTGAAAATATTGAATCAGGAGTCTTATGAGCCTGATGTCTCAGAGAGTGAAGTGTCTTGTACTGATATGGGTGAGAGAACTGCTTCATGGATTTGAATTCACCAGTGACTTGCACAAGTGAGAGGTACCAAAAGCAGGTCTGATTTTTATTTCTTACCAAATAAATTAAATAATAATTATAACAATGTGTGTGAAGAGCTGAGCTTTTAACAATGGTATTTCTCTGAAAAGTGGAAGACTGAGGTCTGAATGCCTTTTCAAAGTGGTCAGCCCAGACCTCCAAGATTAAATCGCACCAGTGGAGTATTGGGTAATCTGTACGTCTCTTCGTACAGATTATTTCAATGGATCATCATTTAGGGCTGATAACAGGTAAAAGCACGAAAAACTGTAATTTGCTCTCTTATCTGGTCAATATTTAAGAAACTCCATTAAAGATGAAAAAACATGAGCAAAGACTGAGAAATAATCTCCTCCAAAAAATCCTACAGCTCTGAAGGTTTTGGGTCCCTTGCTGAGAGCAGTCTCGGCTCACATTGCAGAGCAAACCAAGCAGAAGACAGATTTCAATCTGAACCTGCCACACTATGGATATTTTGTAAAAATCTGGACGACAACTATATGTTGTCTCCTTTGAGAACACAAAGAGCAGGAGGCACTCACTAGGGCCTTGTGAATATCAGTCACAACACTAGACTGAATGAAGACATTTCAAAATATTTGGCTAACTAAAGAATGTGTAGTTTTCCATTTGTGAATATATTACCCACAACAAATGTCAGAAGTGGCTAGACAGCTAATTTGCAATTTATCCTCATGGTAACATCATTAAAGAACAGAACAGGTTGGTTGATAAGAGCTGAAGCTCCATCCAAGTCAATTGTTGGGATTAATCTTCCCTAATGTGCATAAATAAAAATAATTGTTTTGAACTGAAGACCCTGAGGTTCCTCTGTAGTTAGTGGAGTCTTCTTTTCCCTGCCGTTCGTGGTGTGAGTGACCCTAAATCAGCTGTATGGAAAAATTTTTCCTGAAGCGACTCATCTCAGCCTTGTATTTTGCTGGTAATGTCAGGGTGGAGGATTCAATATTACAACACCAAGTGGAACTATGCCTGAGAATGTGGCTCTCTGCTGTTTTTGAAATTTCTACCTCCAATTTCTTCCCCACCCTGTAGACTCGCACTGTGATCTTAGAGATCCCAAATGTAACCAGCCCTGTGAGAGGAGCCCTGTCATCAGGTTACTATTGCAACATCTGCAAATATCTGAACTCACAGAAGCCATCTTTCTGGCCAGTGAAATCACTAAGCAAAAGGACACGAGCAATGCATTGTCTCCACAGAGATGCACTGAATATAAATTCAAATTCCAATAAGTTTTACCTGTGGATATTCAAAATCCGTGGTGGAATCTCCTCTCTCACCCTTCACTGCTGTGTTCTGGGTTATTTATGCAGCCAAAGACAATTTACATCAGTCACAATCCTGCTGTGTCATCCCAACAATAGTGAACAACGCTATCAGTAAAAAAAAAATAATAATACTCACGAGCTCTGTGAGTTTCCTCCTCTCCACAAAACTATGCTTTTATACAACTTTCCTTAAGAATTCTGAGTTAGAAGCCAGAAAAATAGCACTTTCCAACCTCAAAGCAACCACAGAACACTTAATGAATGTATTACCATCTGTCAAATGCACGGGGTGAGGTTCAATTTAGCTGATGATACCTAATTCACAATGACGCTCTGTTTTCAGCAAAAGGTTACTTGATGTTGAACAATGAGATTAACAAATCCTGACATGCACAGAAATACAAATAATGTAACAAAAGCTAATAATTGGCAAAATTGTGCTCTCAGTTACACTGACATAAAAGAGGAGTAACTCCACATTGTCAACAAGCTATTCCATATTTACTCCAGTTCAACCAAGACCAGATTTGGCTCTGTTATTCAACTCTTCAAGCAAAAACTTCCTTAAACTATTAGCCTATGCAACTATTTCCAGGGGACAAAGAGAAATCCTTCTGTCTTGAAACATTTATACCACTGAACTGAAATGAACAAAACATAGGAAAATGTAAATGCACAGAACAATCCTGCAAGTCAGGAGGAGGGCCAGATTCAAAGATTCATTAGTAGATAGTTTGGGTGAAATTTTGGCCAAACTGAAGCCTGTGAAAGTTTTGCTGTTGACTTCAGTGGGGTTAGGATTTCTCCAGCAGCTTTTAAAGCCAAAAAAGGACTATTAGAATCATTTAATCTGACCTCCTGAATAATAGTGGCCATAAAACTTCCAGCGTC